AAATAACAAGTGTAATATCCACTAAAGCAAAGCTTAAGTATATAACACCAACATCATGGGCCGATGCGCTCCATTCGCCCATTAGCCGGACGCCGTCGACCTTCTTGTCGCCGCTCGTCTCTGTCGGTTCGGGCCACGGATCCCAACCCTTCAACCTCACACAATCTTCCGCCGGTATCCACCATCCTTTGGCAACCCATCGCAAACCATGCCGTCTAACCTTCTTCTTTCGGGCTCGCCTTTTCTTCACACAAGGCTTGCACCAACATGGACTTGCTTTTTGAGCCTTTGCTTTACGTCGACTTTTGGCCCGGCGCTTCCTCGCCTTCGACTTCAGCTTCGGGCCACACCCTTTCGACCAATCTCGTACACATGATGGCCGGTATATTGGGCTTGATGGCTCTTCCAGCATGTTCTCTAACCATATGTTGAGACCATCGTAACCTTCCTCCTCGGACTCGCCTGGGTTGATAACCACTTCCGTATCATTCCCCTCCTCTTCAAGACTTTCCTTGTCCTCAAGGATTAGAAAATTGAGCGCACCATCATCTTCACGGTTTTGAACTTCACCCTCCACTGCTCCTCGACCTTCTACGAGTTGTCGCTCGTATTCTTCTCTATTTCTTCGCTCATGGAGCTCGTCTAGATATGTGCTTTCCCATGGGGTAAGTTCCCTCTCCAAACTCTCCAATAATTCGAGATCTTCTCAATCCATCTCGTCCATTGGCACATAAGACATTTTTTTTTACTCTAAAAAAATTCGAAAAAATAAATGAAAAATTCGAACAAGAATTTCGAAAATTTCGACCCAAAAAGAAAGAGAAATCCGGCCCCTTAACAAAAGGTAATAACCGAACAAAAAACAAACAAGGGACTAGATGACACTTTTTTTTTTATACTCACGAATTTTTTCCGAAAATTTGGATAAAATTCAAAAAAAAAATCGAACACAAAGACTCAAAAAAATCGAACAAAAAGAAAAACAATGGGATAGGAAAAGTTAACGAACACACAATCAATCACTCTCAATGAAAGCACCAATGATGAATGATCGTGTGTTCCGTTACCCTCGACTTGTCTCGATCCCGGCTTCGCCACGACCTTGCTCTCGACGATAGGTGTGATCGACTCGGTTATTAGCCTAACTCTCTCACGATACTTGAGTTCACTCGGTAATTAGTCTCGCTCCCTCTTTTGAACTAGCTCGGGTCTTAGCCTCGCTAACTCGGTTGAACTGGCTTGGGTCTTAGCCTCACCAATTCGGTTGCATGATCGAACTCTCACGAATCCTAACACACGGTTTCGAACAAACATTCTTTTCTATTCAACTCATCCAAGACATGAAAAACAATGAGGGATCATCCCTATTTATAGATCCTAACTATGACTAATTCTAATCTACCTAGGAAACTAATTAAAGCAATTAAATGTTAAACTCCTAAATAATCTAGATATTATTGTGCAAGAAAGAAACTAAATATACTAGAGTCCTTAATTGACTAGATCTTGATCTTGCTTGGCTTGCACTCCAAACAATTCCAAATCACACGCCTCAATTATTTTCGGCCGCCCTTCTTTGTGCACCGCCTCATTGCTACTACTCGTCGCGCGCGGCTTCGCGTGCGCGCGCCTCGCAAGCGTCATCCGCCGCCTCAGCTTTTTCTAGTCCCGCGCGGTATGGGTCGTCTGCCTCCCAATTGCGCGTCATTGCGCGCGCCTTGCTGTCGCCGAACTCCTCGTGCGCGTGCGTGCAGTCGCCCGTCACTCCTACGCCTACTCAGCCTTGGGCGTTGCCCGCGTCATCTCCACTTGTGCGCCCAACGCTCTCCGCATCCTCGCTGCCCAGGCCCCGCGCGTCCCGGCCACCGTCTGCGCCCGCTACGCCGCGCGTCGCCTCCCTCGCCCGCGGGCTCCGATCACCTCCTGCGCATCCCCGTACGTCCGTTGCGTTGCACGCACCTTCCCCGCCTGCAGACTGTTCACCCGCGCGCCTATCGTGCCCCGTCGTTACGCCAACGCGTCCCAGTCGACGTCCGCGACTTGCCCGCCTATCATGCACCCCCGCACATCATCCTGCTCTGTTCAACTGCGCGCATCATGGGCCGATGCGCTCCATTCGCCCATTAGCCGGACGCCGTCGACCTTCTTGTCGCTGCTCGTCTCCGTCGGTTCGGGCCATGGATCCCAACCCTTCAACCTCACACAATCTTCCGTCGGTATCCACCATCCTTTGTCAACCCATCGCAAACCACGCCGTTTAGCCTTTTTCTTTCGGGCTCGCCTTTTCTTCACACAAGGCTTGCACCAACATTGACTTGCTTTTTGAGCCTTTGCTTTACGTCGACTTTTGGCCCGGCGCTTCCTCGCCTTCGACTTCAGCTTCGGGCCACACGCTTTCGGCCAATCTCATACACATGATGGCTGGTATATTGGGCTTGATGGCTCTTCCAGCATGTTCTCCAACCATATGTTGAGACCATCATCACCTTCCTCGTCGGACTCGCCTGGGTTGATAACCACTTCCGTATCAAGCGCGCCCAACGTGCACAGCAGCACGCGCAGCAGCGCGCGCAGCAACGCGCTGATAGCGAGCCGTGTTTTTATCTATACGACGGGTTGTGAATAAATGTGCACTAGGGCCTTCGTTTATCCACGATATGTAATAACCCGACTTCTTGTTAATATAAATGATGTATTATCCTTTACTAATTCTGTTCATTTTCAGCAATTACGTTCGACGTTAAGTTGAAAAGTTTATCCGGTTAATTATTAACCGAGTCAAATTCGATAATTAATTTCCGAACCGCTTATTTTATAAACGGACATTATTAATCGGGACTAATTATTAAAAGTTACAAATGTTCGGGACTAAGTTTTGAGGTAGAAGTCAAGCTAAGTCATGAACATATACTCGGTGCACTATGCATGTACGCAGCAGTACGTGTAGCCGCGCACGCGTACGCACGCAGCGTGCATCCTCGCTGATGCGGAAGTGGTAATCGAGCCCGGAAAATGTGAAGATTGGTTGGGCACGGCCA